TTTTAGGTATTTTTATTTATTGAATTTTGTTGAATATAATTTATTGAAATTCGTTGCTCACAAATGGATGTTAGTATTTATACTATATTAATATTTATAAGAGCATGTCAATAGCAGTCATTGTGATAGTAGCATGTCAATCCGCAGACGTACATCACGCAAATGAAATCTTAAAAATTGGTTTCGAGAAATAAGTTAATTCTTGACTTGGAGATTTCGTACTGAAGATTATGATTAATTGAATAGCTCCACAATACATTGCATTTGTTTGTGCAGAACGACACCACGAATTTTGGAGCATTGGTGGGACGAGTTGCCAACAGGATTGCAAATGCACGGTTCACTCTCAATGGGAGGACGTATCATCTCTTGCCCAACGACGGAAACAACACTCTCCACGGTATGTCTCCTTTGATTCATGATACATTATTATTATAATAATAATGTTATGATACATTATTATTATTATTATTCTGCATTAGGCGGGCCTAAAGGATTCGGTCGGGTGATTTGGACTGTGAAAGATAAGGTTGATGGAGAATATCCTTACATCACCTTGTACTATCGCAGCGTCGATGGAGAGCAAGGTATAATTCCCTCCTCCTCCTTTTAATTACATTAAGCTTCCATTTTATGCACTACAAGATGTGACCTACTTCTTTCTACCCATGTTGTGGTTTCTTTGCTAATTCTAGTGTTTCTGATTATCTTATTTTGTGACGAAAAAGATGAACATGATGATGCATATGGACATAACTTCATTATCCAAGTGTGAGAAAGCTTAAAACTGATGAAAGACGATTGTCAAAACAGGCTTCCCTGGTGATCTCGATGTCTACGTTACCTACAAAATCGACGACGACTTCGTTTTGAGTGTCATCATGCATGCGGTGCCGCTGACGAAGCCCACACCCATAAACCTAGCGCAGCACACCTACTGGAACCTCGGCGGTCACGAGAGCGGCTCCATCCTCGAGGACAGGATCAAAATCTTCGCATCCCATATCACCCCCGTTAACGACCAGCTCATCCCTACCGGCGAGATCAGGTCCGTCTCTGGGACTCCCTTCGACTTCCGCGAGCCGGCGAAGATCGGGAGCAAGATCGGCCGCGTCCCCGGTGGGTACGACATCAACTATGTTCTCAGCTCGCCCGCGGACGTGCAGGGTGTGAGGAAGGTTGCCGTCGTGGAGGACGGTCGCGGCTCCGGGAGAGTGCTCGAGCTTTGGGCTAACCAGCCCGGGGTGCAGTTCTACACGGGTAACTTCCTGAAGCACGAGAGGGGGAAGAATGGGCATTACTACAAGATACATGACGGTCTGTGCTTGGAGACACAAGGCTTCCCTGACTCAGTGAACCACCCCAAATTCCCTAACCAGATTTATAGTCCCGGGCAGGTTTACAAGCACTTTATGCAATTCAAGTTCTCATTCAAGTAGGGAGAGAGGCCTTTTCTCATTAGTAGAGTAGATTCTTGTAACGATTTTAGTAAGTGTGGCTCTTTGGATATCCTCAAATTGTTCCTGATGCAAATAAACTTTATATATATATAAATTTATATCATTAACTGATGCTTCTGATCCATAAATTAGAATATTAAATTCTATGACACATCAGGAATTGCTTAGATTTTGTCATCCCTCGTAATCAGTGAAATTTCGGTTCACAAGATGTGCTTAATTCATTTGGAAATTTGTTTCTATTTTGGATTATAGTTCGCCAAGCGTAGAATCCCGAATTTTCGTCATTGAAATAATTCAAAAGTAGTATTTACAGAAATGGAAGGTGAATTACACTATTTGTGAATGAAACAAAAGAAATAGTCTAACTATATTCGAATATAGTGTAGTAATTCAAGTCTTCAAATTTTTTTTTCTTAATGCTTCAAAAAACCTTCGATGATATTATTTAAGTGATTTTTCGATCATAAGTGGTTGTAAATTCACCTTAAATCAGAAAAAAAAATACAAAAACATAAATTTAATTTTTTTTAAAAAAGAGTGTGATTCAGATTTTTTTTTTCATTTTTTTCCAAAGACTTCAAAATTGACTTTTAAAAAAAAAAAAAAAACCCTTATATGATATTCAGATGGTTTTTGACTTAAATGATCATAAATTCACTTTAGATTGGTAAAATTAAAAAAAAAAGATGAAGGGTTAAAATCAATACAAAATTTCCATTTTAAAAGCTTAAAAACTATCATTTAGGCCCTGACAAGTCATTTTAAGGGTTATTAAAAATTTAAAATTTTTGAAAAAAATGAAAGATGTGCTACACTATTTTTGGACATAATTATACTGTTTTAGAATAATGCAGCATAATTTGTTTTTCTCAAAACATCAAAAAATCTTTTATGATAATATTTAAGTGATTTTCCCAAATGGCTGTAAATTCACCTCGAATTAGGCAAAACTTAAAAAATTGATACAAATTCAACATTTTAAAGTTGAAATTAGTAAACAAAACCTATTTTAAAAGACTTCATAAGTTGTATTCAAAGTTTCTAACAATTTTAAATTTTTGGTAAATTGTAGAAGGTGTGAATTACAATAGTTTTTAATGAGGTTACATTGTGTTTTGAATATGATAAAAAAACCGATATCAATTTATTAAAATACAGAATAATTCAGGTCTCTATTTTTTAATCAAAACTTTTAAAATATCTTCTTTTACAATATTCAAATATTTTTTGCCACAAGAGTTATAAATTCATCTCAATTCGTGTAAAATAAAAAAAAACATAAATTAAACCTTGAAATCAGTAAAAAAATACATTTTGTTAAAAATTAATAGTCATCATAATATTATTGTAAGTCATTTTCAAGGTTTTTTCAAAAATTTGAGAATTTTTACAATTAATAGTTAACATTTATTAATTTATTTAATGTATTATTATAATTTTGTTTAAATTCAATAATATGAATTTTATTTTATTTATAATCATAATTTTTAATTTTTATAATATTTTATATTTTATATATTTATTAAGATTATATATATATATAGTTTTTGATTTTATTGGTTATTATTTATTTAGGACAGCCGTAATATTGATTGACTTAAACCGGCCTCTATTGTCATGATTTATTTAGATCGAGCTAAAAATTTCAAAGGAAAAAAAAAAACTAAGTAGTTGACAACCACAGCTTTTCTTAACGAAAAAAAAAATAATTAAGGGAGGTTTGCCGGGCAGCAAACAATCGAAAGCGGGGATTAATTGTTATCTTTCAAAGCAGGGGGTGTTTTTGGAGAGATTAAATTTTCCGGAAATACAAATATGTCCAAACTTTATTAAGTTAATGCATATGCATAACCCTGCCAAAGAGACATCCTCCCCCGCCTTGCTCGCCCCTGCTGCTCTCTATCATCTGCGGCGGCGACTGCGGTGACACCCAAGGCACGCCCACCTCCTCTTCTTCTTCAAGCGGCGGCGCTACCGCCTGCCCCTCCCGTTGTCTCCTCTCCTCCTCCTTCTCCGTGTCCTCTCTTCTGGCCCTAGATTTAGTCTCTGGGTTAGGGTTTCGAAGGGTCTGTGGGTTCCACCAGATTGTTCCGCTCGCGATTTCCCGTCCTCGATTGCTGGCTTTCTGCGGACCGTCTGCTTTGTTCCTTCTTGCAAGGGAAGGTTTCCGGAGATGGCTGAGGATGAGTCGCCGCAAACTTTCAAAACTCTTGGAGTGAGAGAAGAATTGGTGGAAGCATGCGAAAGCTTGGGGTGGAAAGCCCCCACGAAGATCCAAATCGACTCTATTCCGTATGCCCTTGAAGGTATCTTATCGCTTGTGGCTTTTTTAGTAACTTTTCATGACGTTCTTGTCTTGTTAAGTTCGAGATTATCCAGTGGCTTTTTTTTCATATAGAAATTAAATAAAAAACAATGTAGAAAAACTTTGTTTGGTTGGTTGATAGGGAAAGACATTATCGGTCTGGCTCAAACGGGGTCGGGTAAGACAGGAGCTTTTGCAATCCCGATTATTCAAGCTTTGTTGGAGACTCCACAACCCTTTTTTGCTTGCGTGCTTTCTCCTACTAGGTTCGTTCGCAATTACTTGCTTGGAATCTTCCTTGTGAGAAGTTCTGTGAATTGGTGATTATGGATCTCACCTCTTGTTTTGTTCCTCATTGTTTTCAGAGAGTTGGCAATTCAGATTGCTGAGCAGTTCGAAGCATTAGGGTCTGGCATTGGCGTAAAATGTACAGTGGTGAGTTCTGGGATGTAGTTAGACAATTTTTGTAGATCTGGATCCAGCACCTGTTATTTTGTTTTCCTTGCCTTAGACTTATGATATTTTGTCAACTGTTTATTGAGTTGAATGATACCAATTGATAAATCATGTATATTTCCGAGAAAAGCTTATGACACAATTCATCCTGGAATTTTATTGCATAATATATGATGTATGAGCATTTAAAGTGTGGTCATGTCAACATGGTAATCAATATGCATTATTTTTGTTCAAAAGTTCCTTCATGGAGAAGTTCAATGATGATGCTCTTATTTAATCATATTAAAGGCTTGATTTGTGCTTTAATGTTTTCATGTTGGTATGACGTTTTGGCTGAACTTTTTTTTGTCACAGCTTGTTGGAGGGGTTGACATGACACAGCAAGCAATTTCTCTTGGAAAGCGTCCCCATATCGTGGTATGTTGTTGTAGATATCATTTTTTGTTGTATGTCTGCCTTTGTGTTAATTTTTAGAGGGCTTGTAGGTCATAATGATTTATACTAGTGACTTTGTATACTTGGTGTAGCTACTTTACTGGGAAGGTTTTTGAGTTCTTATTGAATACTTGGTTCCATTTAATTTATAATAGCAGTATGTGATAAAACAAAACTCAAGTTTCTTACCCAAAGGATCTTTGTAGGTTTTACAATTTAGCCACATTACTCTCTTTGAATAATAAAAATGGATAATGGATTATCAGCGGTGGTCACCACACGCAAGTTTAAACCAGAAATGAGACTTGAATTAGCTCCTAAGTTGAGGAGGATGTTACTTAAAAAGCCTTTTTTAAAGATTTGATGCCCCTATATATGTCTCAGAATTTATTTATACTTGTTATCATAGAATGAATACTTTATTTCAACTCAAAGTACCTCTTCATCATTGTCATCTGAGGGTGTACTGAAATATTCAAAATGTTCTCATATTATGTTCTTACCCAGGCAGTCCATTCTTCAATCAGTAATATACTGGCCTACAATGTTATCTTATTTTCTGTCCAAAAGAAATATCTCTAGGAGAACGAAAGACTTTTAACAACGAAGAAAGACTATTTGGTAATACACAGTAAATATAATCTTTTTGGCAATTTATTCCGATGAGGTTTAGGTAGATGTTATTACTAGTGATTTAAAAAGTGTTAGGTGCCAAAAGGCTCTAAGGTCCCAAAACTCCTAAGGCGCTCAATATATAATATAATTAAAAATATAATTATTTAAATAAAAGTATGATATTATATTAAAAATATACTGTTAACAATATATTACTTAAGTTAGAGGGGGAGAAAAAAATTCTCTGAAATATTAAAATATAAAAAATATATAATATAATTTTAAATAAAATTATTTAAATTAAAATATGATATTAAATTAAAAATATACTGTTAACAGTATATATTACTTAAAGTTAGAGGAGGAGAAAAAATGTTAACAGTAGCAGAGGGAGATAGCAACAGCGGCGGAGGGTTAGTTTAAGATAGTTGCAGCAGCACTGCGAACGACAGCAGTGGAAGCTGTGGATAGTAGCAACGATAGCGAGAGAAGCTACGGACAGGAACAATGACAGTGGCGAAAGCTGCAGACAGTTGCAGTGGCAACGACGAAAGCTGCATACAGTAGCAGCGACAGCGATGGAAGCTCCAAAGGAAGTTACATGGGCCGTTAGACTCATCTGTCGACAACAAAGGAAGGCTCAGTTCGCTGCGTCTACGGCGAAGGCAGCGGCAAAAAGCATCGGCGGCGGAGGCAGAAGCAGCAGTAGGGTTCCTCTAGGTTGCGTGGGCGTGAAGCGTGGCTTTTGAGGTAAGAAATTACGAACCGAACCAGGGTTTGGTTCGCTTAATTGAATCCGACACTCGCCCAAAGTGCCCAGCGATTGCGTTTAGGCGAGCGCCTCATTGAAGTGCGCCGCCTAGTGGACACACAAGGCGCTCGAGCCTTTCCTCACCTATTTAAATCACTGATTATTACTAATACTTAGTAAGCAATCATGCTGTTTTAAGCATGCTTATTTTTATATTTAATGTTTTTGTAATGTGATGTTTTACACCATAGGTTGTGCATCATTTATAGAACTTATGGGCAAATATGTTGTTTTAAGCAGCAGTCCTTGGTTATGTTGACTAATCTTATCAGTAATGGCCTAATTCTAATTCTTTGCTGATTTGGGGTCTATCTCCAATCTTATATTAGCTTTCTATGGCCATTGTGAACCACTCAGATGGGTAACAATGGGCTCATAAAGAATTTAGTTCATTTCATTATCCGTTTGAAAAAAGTTATATTTAGCATATATTTTAACATGGAAAGGACATGGAATCTATTTACTCATTCTGCATCTCTTTCTAATGTAACAACCAAACATCTGACACTCTTGGAGCTCCTGCTAGATATGCACAGTTGTCTGTGATAAAATTACTTTTGTCTTCCATCATTGAAGCTTTCAACAAGTCAATTCTGCCTCTCGAGCATCAATGCTGTGTCATCTGACAAATGCTATTTCTTGTAGGTCGCAACCCCTGGGCGTCTCTTGGATCATTTAACTAACACAAAAGGTTTTAGTCTCCGCACAATAAAGTATTTGGTAAGACTCAATTGCACCATGTTGATGTGAAGTGTGTTTGCAAGAAGTATAATATTCTCCATCTACATTTTTGATGTTATGACTTGTTATTTTTGTAGTTCTAAGTTTCGATTATATTTTTAGTGGAAACATGCAATTATATTCTATTCATTAGAAATAATCAATTCACTAACTATTAATGGTGCTGAACCCTAAATTATGATTTGCATTAGACAGCTTGGTGATTATATTTTGAATTATATTGCAGATATGTGAAAATTTAAAGTTAAATGCACTCTAATATTATCATGCAACAGAGAGAAAAAGTTAGGATAGTTACTGTTTAGTGTCATCCTGGCAAAGTCATAATTCTTTGATTGGAAGATATATCTGCATTGCTTAGATCATTGAAATGTTGAATGCCTTTGCATTAGTGGAAACTTGCATCTCGTATGCAGCATCTATGGATTTAGGGTGTCTTGTTTGGGTGTCTGCAGTTGCAATTTGGAAACCTATTTGTGAATTTGGTGTTTGGATCTGAGCATTTGAGACCATATGCGTATCCCAGAATCATGGCTATGCAATGCAAGGGCATTGAAGCATGGAGAATGACCATATAGTAAGAAATCATGAGAATGGAGATCTATGCATGAGGAACAAGGATGTTGGAAGCAAATAATAGATAAAGGAATTAGTTCAGAAGTATATCTATGGCCAATTTGGTCTAATGAGGAAGTGCAGGATTCGAACCTAAAAATGCATTTGTAATTGCAATACTTAAATTTTGTAGGGATCTACATTAGTTTATGCACTGCTTGCATGATATGCTGGGAAAATGCAGAGATTTGAGCTAGCCCCATTGTGGTGAATGCACCTAGCGAGAGGCATTTGCCGTTGATATACAATCTGTTTATTTTCTGTACACTTATTGAATGCTAAAGCCTTACATAGGAATTGTGCGCTAAATTGAAAGTTTGAAAAGTTTGGTGGCTGTAACAAAGCTATAGTTCATTCTGATCAAGGTTATTCTTTTTCTCTATCCTCACTGGATGTGGCATGGTAAAGCCAGTTTGCATATCTGTGCATTTCAACAACGATTGCTTGTATTTTTTCTTATCAAGATGAACCATAACTTATAAAACCAGGATTAAACTGCCATTATATAGAACATGGTTTGATGTGTAATATGCATGCTGGAGTTACATTGGCATTAATCAACAATCATGTTCTTTGACTTCCTGCTTGTTATTAGAAGACTTTTAAAACTAACAAGATATCTCAGGCTCTTGCTAAAAGACAAATTAAAGTGATACTTTATGCACCAAAAGTGATCAATGTTAAAATGCTAAACCTCATTCTGTAATAAGATCTGAATGATTGTTGTGTGTCAGTTTTTCTCGAGAGATGATGAGAATCTTGAAAAATGCCAATGCTAGGCAATGTATTACGCAAACCACTGAAAATCTAAGAAGTCCTAATATTATTAACTGCTGTAGGTGTCACACTTTTAGAGTAAACCTCTGATAATATGGCCATTCATCAAGTCATGGATTATTTAGCAAATGTTAGCTAACGTAAATCCTACATCTGTTAGACATGATGATTGCCCACTAGGTTGCCCACACGAGAAAGGACTCAAGGCTCTGATTTTGTTTGTTGGTGAAGTGATAAGATGAGTGATTACATTTACCAATGGAGAATACATCAACAAAAATTGAGGCCAAGTCAATTGGTTGGATTCAATAAATTTGTTCGAACATTTTTCTGAAATGGTTCTGTCCATGCAACAACTTTTATGTAAATGTTTCACTTCTAGCTATGTTCCTTTCTACTCAATTTTTTCAGGGAGTCATCAACTCTTCTCCTTGATTGGCATTGCAGTAGCACCTTCTTAGTGCTTTTCTCTCATTATTTTCTTTTATGGGCACTTCTATATTTACTTGTTCAATGGCACTGTTTTGTCCAGTATGTTAAAGGGCTTTGAAAGATTTAGAGAAGGAAGTTTCATTGTTAAAGCTACCAGGGCATGTTGAGTCAGATGGAGTGCAGCCCAACACTAGTAACTTACAGTGATGTTAGAATGGAGGTATAGGTGCTCCACAATTAAATTTAATTAGATTAACAACATATTGGTATATTATTTGAATGATTAAAGTCCTGCTGTGGCACTGAGAATTCAATGTGTTGTCACAACAATTTTAACTTAGGCTATGGTTTCTTATGCAGCTCAGTGACAACAAAACATCTATACAGTATACAGCCGACTTAAAATAGTTGGGACAAAAACACAATGTGCAGTACAAGGCTGCTACAGGAAGAAAGATGCAGAATATTGTAAATAATAATAAACAGTGAAGGGGATGAAGAAATAGAAGGAAGATTGATTATTAGAGATTTGGCAGCCATGGAAAAGTGCGTAACATTTTTCAAATTCATAGAATACAAAATTTCCACTGCTAATAATCAGTATCTTACTTTAAAGTAGACCTAAATCATATTAGACTCTTTTAGGACTCGGAACTCCTAAAAATAGCAAGAAGCTACTTTATTTAAAGTGCTTAATTATAATAAAAACTAAAATTGTAATCTGCCAACTAGCTTATTGTAGCATGCTATTTTAACACTACAATACTTTGCACTGTTTCTTCTGCAATGTGTGACCAATAGATAAAATTAATAGCCATCTACCTTTAATTGCCTAAATTCTTAAACTGGCTATAGAACTGATTAAAATTGAACCCAAACAATATTCATGCTGCAAACCTGACGTCCATGATTTTACCTGAAGATAGTCAAATCACTTCAGTGGCAATATGCTAGCCAAGAGTAAGTTGCAACAAAAGATTTTCAGAAGAACTATTTGACATCAATTATGTGGCCTTTTCCTTTCAAAAATTTGTTGTAGTTAGGTTCACATGTAAAACTAATTAATTTATGGGGTGTGATTTTCAACAAGCATTTTAATTAGTTTAGGCTGTTTGCTTATTTCTCACTCTATGTTAGTGAGGTTGGCGATATTCTGCAGTAACCATTTAAGAAGCATTTGATTGCGACAGACATCTCTTATTGCATATCAACTTTTATTCTGTGTGGGTGTACAAATGCATTTGTATGTGTATGTGTTTGTGTTGGTGTGTGGTGTGTCTATGTTTATTCTCAACTGAGAAGGGTGACACCTTTTACATATCTATTCTTTTCTTTAAATAGTGGTTGTGAAGAATTATGTCAGTATAAACTATTAGAATTTATTTATTAAATGACCTGGTTTGATCTTCTGATGGTAAGGTCCTAGATGAGGCTGATAGATTGCTCAACTTGGAGTTTGAGAAAGCAATTGATGATATTTTGAAGGTTATTCCTGCTGAGAGAAAGACGTACCTGTTTTCAGCCACTATGACAAAAAAGGTCAGTATACATTTCCAAGTGGACTTTTGTATCAAGCTTCAGGGACAAGGATCTATACGTCTAGCATTAGTTACACCAAACTTGCAATTTCTGTGCCGTCGTCTGAATGAAAATACTTCTTCCTAAATTATCTGGGACAAATTTGGTGCTGCATGCTGGGATCAATTCATGTAGGATTTGGTTTTCCTATAAATATTCCTACTTATTATGATATAGCTCTTGATTTTGCTAGAAAATGAGTTGTTGTTTTATTGATTGATATCTGACAGTTAATGCATGTGTTTTAATTTCCTCTAGTGCCATTATGCAGGCACCTAACAATTTGTGCTTGTGTATGCTACATCAGTTCTATTTGGCCTTTCTGTCATTTATCGAATTGGGTTCAAACATGGTAATGACCAGTAAAAAATCCATGCACTTCCAGTTCTGTCACTAATTAGACTGATGTGATGCCAGTCTGTTGGGTGGTGTACCAACCTGTACCCGTGTGGTATCATTGAATAAGGTATAAAAAAATTAACGCATGAATACAGAACTATATGTTTAGATAGTACTAAGACCAGTAAATATTAATCTGTATGTACCAGTTTGACCGGTATTCAAATCCATCTTTCATAAATGTTAAGAAGAAGTGTATAATTGAGAGTGTATAACCAATACTTACTTTTAGCTTTGTCATTTTTCAATTGTATGATATCTGTAAAAAGACGTGTGACATCCATGTCATGGCTTCTAAATCATATTCTGAGGTGTGCCTTTCATGGTAACATATCAAATTGGTGAACATGTTATGAAATTTGTTTTTTTGAGACACATTAATTTGGGAATATATGAGGGTCTTTCCAGATTGAGACACTTTTGTTTCTTCTACAGGTGAGCAAACTTCAACGGGCTTGTCTTAGGAATCCTGTGAAGGTAGGCACTGATATTGTTTTTGATTTTTCTTATTTTATGTTTGCAGTCTCTTCCATTTTTAAGGCCGTATTGCCCTAATGCTTGCCTATCAATTGATCGATGATTGCAGATTGAGGCTGCTTCTAAATACTCCACAGTTGATACACTGAAGCAACAGTTTCGCTTAGTTCCAGCAAAGTATAAGGTTGCTTACTTTATCTTGTTTTAATTATATTTTAGTTTTGACTTGATATGAGGTTGTTGAAAGTTGTAACTGACTTTGTAACAATATATCTTAGTTTTACTGCATAAAGTATTCAATCATAGCAAAAATCGCTTAAAATATTTCTAACACAACACAAGTAGTTTTGTATTCTTTTGCATCATTCAGACTTGTTTTCCTTACAAGATAGCCTTGTAAAGCATGTAATTAGATTATGGATTTCTTTTTTTTTTCAATAAATTAAGGGGACGTCATTGTGAAGCTTCTCCATTTAGACTAGATAATCTCTAAATCCATTGTTTGTTAAGATGGTAAATAACTAGGTTGAAAACCATACTAGAATTTTGCATATGGCTGCAAGTTATTTATTCGATGTGCCCTGTTTTCTGGCAATATCTGCAGTAGATGCTCACAATAAGCACTGCCCCAAATGATTCTTAAGCTGATCAACAAAACATAGATGAGCGGACCAGTTCTGCTAGCCCTCATAAGTTGGTAATATTAGCTTTAAGCAAGGTTTTAAATACCAGGTGGTACCAGTACAGTCTGGTATTACCAATTTTATAGGAATTGGCATGCTGACCAAGCAAAATTATCCTGTCAAGGTCAAAATAGTTGTATATAACTTTTTAGTCCCTTGTCAAAACAGCTGCTGACAGTTGATAGCCTGAATAACCTTTTGTTTGATTCCTTTCTTTTTCATGTTTTCCTCTCATTTCCCTATCTCTTTCCAATGCCTAGCAGCCTCCACTGTTGCTGTCTCCTACCTCCTCCCTGTCAACAGCTGTTGACAGCCTCAACAGCCTTTTCTTTTGTTCCAATGTTTTCCTCTTTTCTTTTGTTTTCCCATCTCTTTCCTTCGTCTCGCAGCACTAGTTGCCTATGCCTTTGCCATCGTTGTCTCACCTTTTCCTCGCATTACCGTAGCCATCATCTCATTCTGTTCACTGTTCTTTTCCTCATCTTCCTCCTCTTCTCTTTCTTCTCCTCATTCCTCATCTGCCACCACTTGCCTCCTACGCTGTCTCCGTGCTTGATTCCTCGTCTACTACCACCACCACCCCGTCCTCTGGTTCCTCCTTATCCACGTTCTCCTTCTCAGTTCCTCATTTACTTCCTTATTTATTCTCATCCTCATCCTCTCCCTCGTTTGACTGGACCTGTATCGAGGTGTACCAACACATTGTAGGCCCTACCATCTGGTACTGTACTAATCCAACCAGGGAACTGTATGGGTTTCTGACTGTAACTGTAAACATTGGCTGCAAGTAATAGTACTTCATTACTGAAATATTATCATTCCTGTGTCAGATATAGTTGACAATTGTCTCATTTGGTTGATCTAGTTGACCCATTGACTTCTTGTTTGGTTCAGGATTGTTATCTGGTTTACATTTTGACTGAGATGTCTGGAAGCATGTCAATGGTATTCACCCGAACATGCGAGTCGACACGACTTCTCTCTCTAGTTCTCCGGAACATTGGTATGAATGCCATCCCTATCAGTGGTCAAATGAGCCAGGTAACTATTTTTCTTTGAAAAAGACATGGATATCCATTTGTTGAATAATTAACTTGTGTGAACATTATTCTGACTATAGCATGCAATTTGAAACTGACCTTTTCTCTTTACATTACTAGAAACTTTGTCATTAGTATTTTCTGCAGTAATGACTTAACCTTTTTCTTCTATGGAATTGATTTGACAGGCTAAGAGGTTGGGGGCTTTAAACAGATTTAAATCAGGAAACTGCAACATCCTTATATGCACTGATGTTGCAAGCAGGGGACTTGACATCCCTTCAGTTGATGTAGTTATAAATTATGACATACCTACAAATTCTAAGGTTCATGTTTTCCCCCTTTATTATTGTTCATCACATTTTCTTAATGCCTGTTGCAGCCAATAATTCCTGTAGTCGACAACATTTCTTGCCTTGAACAAACTTATTCCATGTTTATCTAGTTGAATAATATAGAGTCAGATAGCATAAAGACCTTCTCGCTGACTTCCCACCTTATATTTCACACTTGTTTCTTGCCTTAGAACAACTTAAGTAATATCAAGTTTATTTAGTTGAATAATAAAAGTAGTCAGTTACTGGAAGGATTTTCTTGTTGACTTTCCATCTTAAATCACATGATGAAAAGATTGCTTTTATGGTGCATTTCATTTCTCACCTTTGATTTATGAAAAAAGAATCTTAATCAAACATTTCTTCACATCATGGATGTAAATCTTAGTTTGCGACCAAGTACAATAGGCCATCAACCAGTAGGGTACCAATATATCGAGTGGTTTACCGATTTATACTGCCCGGTATTATTAAACAAACTAATAAAAAATAAAAATGAACGGATTTGTACTAGTATCAAGATATATGTTCAACACTGATCTTGATAATGACTGGTATTTAAAACCTTGCTTTCCCATCTTGATTAATTGAAAATTGAACACGAAATGCATGTATAATGTAGTTCCGGCCTTTCTCCTGTACATATGATACTTTTTAGTGTTTTTCTTTGCTTGCCTAAGGATGAGCATACGATACCGATGGCTGTATTGCTAAATTCCACTGTGATTAACTACCTACTTGTGATATCAGTTTGTTTCACATGAATATCAAGGTAGTCATATCATCTAAGGAAATGAATTTCAGTCGTACTTTTGAACTTATGTTGGTCCTTATGAATGTCAAATGATTTGTTTGGGCATTCAGTCAGTATTTCATATTAAACCTTTAAGAAAGTTTAGTTAATAATTTGGAGGATTACTTTGATGTTCTTAATTCTGTATCCTGAACTACCAATATTATTCGAGCTAAGTCTATAGAATGGACGATATACAACTAGGTTCGTAGGTTAGATACAAATCTTTTTCAATTAGGTTAGGTCATTTACTATATCTGTAAATAATTTTGTCTTTGCAGTACCGTAGGATACATTTGACATGTGCATTGAAACTACTTTCTAAATGTTCTTTCGAGATAACCTTGTAATTAGTAGTTTTGCCATCAACCACTGCCTCATGTTACTATGTACCATGAGAGGTTGGATATCCTTTTCTTCTTTTTGAGAATTTGAATTGTACTGAGATGGTTTCCATATATAAACTCTTCCAAAATCCTGATAGTCTTTTGATACCACCACTTTTAAGCCATTATAATGGTTTTGGTGCTCTATCACCCTTAATTTTGCTAAGTACCAGTGGAATTTTTTTTCTTGTGGTTTTTCATTCAACTAATGTTGTAATTTGTACTGACTGACATACTGCAGGATTATGTCCATCGTGTGGGCAGAACCGCACGTGCTGGGCGATCTGGGTTGGCGATATCTTTGGTGAATCAGTATGAGGTTGAGTGGTACCTACAGATAGAGCAGCTCATTGGTTGGCTTCACTATCTTTTGTTATGCTCTCTGTCATATAGTGTGACTTATGAAAGCACTGATATACTTGTACCATTTATTTTATAGGCAAAAAACTACCAGAATACCCAGCAAATGAAACTGAAGTCCTTATATATTTGGAACGTGTATCGGATGCCAAGAGGATTGCTCTCATGGTATCTCACTTCTGTTTCTAATTTGTTCTTTTGAATAGTCCTTATCCAAATTCTTATTGCATTATATTTCATATTGGGGATTAGCTTTCGACTGAAATTTTTTGTTTTTGGGTTAACTAGAAAATTAAGGACAGCAATGGCAATAAGAAGAGGAAAAAGGTAGAAGAAGATGGTGATGAAGCAGAGGAATATGTTGGGATTTCCAAGAAGGTAAAAGCATCAAAGAGATCTAAGAGATGGTAGCCGCGACTTTGTCATGCTGGTGATCGTGGCTGTTGAGATTTCTTTTGTTTTTTTCCCAAAAGCAAAACAGCTATATTACTGAATCAATCTAGGAAGAGGCCATCATGCTCCTCGTAGCACAAAAAATGAGCCAACTCCGGTGGTTGTATTGCCCTCCACGAATAAGAGGATTGGGGACAGAGCAAAAATGTGTTGGCCAGTTAGTATTATTGTTCTCTTCTCTAAATACATTTATAAAGAACCTAGACCAAATGTCTTAAACAGTTGAGCAAAAGTCATGTAAAAGACTCTTTTCTATTAAGGAATTTGATAATCGATTCAGTATCAGATTCAATTACCGATTTGGAGATTCCCTCCTCAAATCTAAGTTCTATCTCACGTTTAATTACAATCAATTGTGCTCTCAGATCTTGTTGTCTTTGATAAATATATATGGTTGCGCATTATTGATGTACGTTCATCATCTAGGATAGAATCAAATGTTCTAAAGCTTAAATTAACTTTTTGGGTCAGTGGTGTCGGCTGTTTGCAGAGTTTGTAAGGGTCGAAGGTACTAAAGAATCATCATATCAGGGGCTTTTTTTTATAGTAAGGTTTAGGACCGTTAGGTCATGATTTAATGTCAGGAACTTATACGTCTCCTCCAATGTTGGGTATAATCGTGATGCATCGAATCTGAAGAATAATATAGTATGGTTGTGAGTTGGTTTATAACTAACTTGTAGAGGGAGAAGTCATATCAGTCATGTGGCATATCGAATGGCTGAGTGGGCTTATAACTTGATGAGGGAGAAGTCATATCAGTCATGTGACAGTGAGGTGTCAGGCCTGTAATTTTAAGGCATTAGTCATATAATGTGGAGGTGTCAACCCTGTGTTGAGTTTTTGATCATGAGTGTTAAGGTGTCAATCACACTAAGGTGTTGTTAGTTCTTATTATATCATTATTCTTATATCATTTGTCTCATATCATGTGTAGTGGAGTTGATGCATAATGTAATTTCTATTCAATTATTTTATCATTGAAAGAGTACTTTGATCGATTTGACCATGCTATCATCCGAAGAGCAATTTGGGCCAATTGGATTGCTTTGGGCTGATTCAATCATGTTGTCATTGAAAGAACACTTTGGGCCAATTTGATTATATTGATGTCAAAATAATGTTTTATGTTGTTTCAATCATGTTTTCATCGAAAGAGCACATTGGATCAATTCGTATCATCAAAAGAGCACATCGGCCTGATTCGAGCACGGTATTGTTAAAAGAATGTTTTAGGCTGATTCGACCATTTTGTCTTCGAAAGAGTGCTTTGGGCCGATTTGATCATGCTGTTAGACTCGGAATATCGATCCATACGATGTAGGCGATGTTGTGATTTTGTTAGCATATATGCTCGCATGTGTGAGACATCATCATCACTTCAACTTTCTACGAGCATGTCATTTTTGTAGTTGCATCGGATCTAGCTGAATGTGATTCTTGACATATCACAATTATGACTTAGCACCCTTAGCATGTGATGCTAGTAGGGATCTCCACATGGTCATTTTTGGACTTATACGTCCTCCGAGATCTAGTATGGACTCTCCTAGTTTGGTGCAGGTTTCCCTCTAGAGTCAGTGACTTCTACCTTTTATAAGACAAAGTTTGATGTAGAACTTCTGCGGTGTAAAATTTTGTTATAGCTCATCTAAAGGCTAAATTATGCAAATATGCCTTCTCTTGGATGTTGTCAATCATGTAAGGTTAACTCAAAACCCTTGACACCCCTTATCATACTCTCAGGTTAATATTTTACAAACTTAAGATGGGATATTATATCAATCAAGCGTAAGTGAGACATTTATTGCCTAGAAAAGACTTTAAAAATGGAGCAATAAATTTAAATTCTCAAGATTTTAAGGTATATGTGATACCGATACTTTGGGCAATACTACCTCATAAGTTTTAACATGAAACCATAATTCTAAACTTTAGTAGTACTACCACTACGATAGGTAATACCATTATCGTCATAGGTGGTTCCACCTCCATAATGGTTGACAAGGCACAAAGTCCTTGTCGGCTAATTTAGGTGATACCACTACCAAGGTCTAGTAGTGTCACTACTACCCCAAGCAGTTTAGATCACATATTTAGCCTTTTAACGTGGTTAATTTTGACCAAACTTTAAGCCCAATGGCTATTGTAACTTTTCATGACAAGTGGACTTTATTTTAGTCTAATATCGACTCAAAACGATCTTGACTAATTATCCACTCATCCAATATATTTTTGAAGCTTTCAATAAATTGTATACTCTTCTAGCATATCGTCCGATCTTTTGGCATTTTGTTCAAACCTCTAGCATATCAACTTTTCTATGTTATTCGATTTTCTAGCACGATATCTAATCCTTCCGACACGATGTCTGAATCTCTAGGATGAAGTCCAATCTCTAGCAGATCGACAATCTTTTAACTTAATATTTAATTTCGGACACAACAATCTTTTGGTACAATGTTTGACTCTTCATCTCAACATTTTACCCTTCGATGGTCTGAGTCTTTAGTCGAAGCGTTTCTTATGTCACTTATCTCAATAACATATGAATTCATCAAATTCATCGATTGATATTATCATCAAAATTCAGAATTGATCGATTTCTCTCCCATTATAATTCTTTCAATCACTTCAAGGTTTAAAAGAAAACAAGCATCTACAGCTACTAAACTTCTTTGATCAACATAAGGGGCTTCATGTCCAGAATGACCTTGACCTTCTTTGGGTTGATGTTAATTCCTCTTTCACGGATCATGCATCAGAGGAATATTTTGGAGTGGATGCCAAAGGCACACTTAAACAAATTCAATCACATTTAGTGTTTCTTAATTTTGGTGAAAGTTTTCTCCAAGTCAGTTAAATGAGTATTGAACATCTGACACCTCACAAGCATGTTATGTATGAATGTCTCGATGGTTTTGCCTATGTTATTTGAATATTTTGTTGATCATTCTTTAATAGGTTGTGCTAGCATATTTAAGCTCTAAAGGACTTTATAGTAATCTAAGTCTCGATCGATGATAACTAAAATATGCTCCTCATATTTTGAAGTCATTTTAACTTGGTTACAGTTGAAGAAGACATCTATGAAAGTTAACATCTCATGGCTAAAGGTAGTATTAACCAATTGGTTAATATGGGGACAAGCTTTGTTAAAATTAATATAATAAATATATATTCTTTATTTTTTTATTATTCTTTTTTTACAAAAACTACATTAGCAAGTCATTTACAATAATGAACCTTATGAACAAAGTCAATATTTAATAATTTATCGACTTCTATAATTACCGATTGACAATCCAAAGTGAATAATTAGGGCTTCTACCAAATAGGTAGATGATTGGAGTTGATGTTGAGCTGCGCTATAGAATGGTTGATACCTATCAAATCACTTGGTGACCAAGCATACACTTCTTCAAAATTGAGACATAAGAAGTTGGCTAGCTTGTTTCTCCTTTTTTTCTAATAGTGCTAAGTTAACCTTAGATGGTTCGATTCGGTTCGACTTGTCTATATCTAGCAAAACATCAATCAGTGGCTCTTCTATTTTTGAATTAGCCAATTGAGGTGTCGGGTCTCTTGGATTTATCCGATAGACTTTGACAATGCCATCTTGGATGACTAAAGTTAGATAATATTATTTGGATTCCAAAAGGTCACTTTCAAGTTTTCTGACTCCGATGCTTATTGGGAACTTTAGTATCACGTAATATGTGGAAATGATATCTCAAAGCTAATTGAGAGTTAAACGTTCGATGCTTAAAGAGACTCAACACATGAACTTGGCCTTCATCATCCTCAAATAAGCTACTCACTTGAAAGTAATATAAAGGTCGATTGTTCTAGGAGGTGATTGAGCTAGTGTCTATTTACTTGAAACTTCTTTGCATACGTCCTATGAGTAGTGTTACCATCTTCTCTTGAGGCTGAATCATCAATAATTACATCAACTTGATATTTGATGGGGCTTTGTGGTCTAGGGGATGCCTCATGAACTCTAGAAAGATAAAAGAGTCTAAATTCCTTTTTTGAATTGAGTTATTCATGTAACGTTGGTTGAGCATGCATAAGTACTAATGTTTATGTCTTAATAACTTGAAATTATGATATTATGATGTATGCATTGATATTTTAACTATGATATGTTACATATAACTTTTGTAAAGAAAATCGCTATGATTAAAATTATTTCGACTTGAATTCAAAGACTAGTATTAAAAGATTATCGTTTCTTGAATTCGAGTTTATTTCAATATAACATATAGACAAGGGGAGTTTAGTTAAAACTTCATCATTAATTGGTAGTCATCATAAAAAAGGAGGAGATTATTGAATCTGGATTTTGATAATAAAATCAATTAATGAGTTTATGAACTAATGAGCGTTTGAGAAAAATGATGTAGGACAAACTTCGATCATAGAAAAGCAAATTATTATAGTAGGAGAATCAAACATTGGGTCGAAGTGCATCATGTTATAGATTGAGCATCAGGCCAGAAGAATCGGGCATTGTGCTAAGAAGATCGGATGTTGCGGGAGGTCAACATATCGATGGGTTGGGCAATATGCCCAAGGAGAGTACGATGCACTGGAAGTTAGGACGAACTACCAGATAAACTGATGATATGTCGGACAATGTAGGCTTTATGGTTATAATTGTTGAGTCTTGATCAAAGTAGTTTAAGTATTTAATTGAGTTAGTTTTGGGTGTAACTATATTAACTTGATTAGGAGTCCATTGGGCTTGAATCAGGGTTGAATTGAGTCTATTGGAAGGCCAATTCAGTGACTTGAGGTTAGGCCAGGCGGTGGCATCGCTAGGCTATGCCATGATACCGCTTGTGAGTTGGAAAGTATGAAATGTACCTTTCCAAAAAAACCCGATGGTGGTACTGCTAGGGTCAGCGATGGTACCATCGCCCAATGTCAAGCGATGGTAACACCCAAGTAGGCAATGGTACTGCCAGTGCATAGGTTGTCAAGCGATAGTATTGCCCAGTGCATGCGATGGTACCACGAGTATCCCAAAAACCTAAGGATTGAAATTTTTGGCTCCATTTCTGAAGCCATTTGGAACCTATAAATACCCCTCTTAAAAAAAGCATGAAAAGCTTATAATTTTAAAATGTTGTAAACTCTTGAAAAGTATTGAGTCTCTTCCTCATTGAGTCTAGAAGTCATTCTAAGGAAGGTGAGAGGTCTTTTGTAAAATAGGGGTATAAGGGTTCTCTCCTAAGTCTGTGAAAAAAAAGAAAGAGTTGTAACAAGAGTAGTTGATCTTCGCTTATTGAAAGAAGATTGATAGTGAAAGTCGATGACCTTGAACAAAAAAGAATCGAGAGTGGACATAGGTCAAGATGATCGAACTACTATAAATTGATTTGTATTTCTTCTTTTATCTTGATTTATTATTGCCTACTAATTTAGCAATCCTACTTTTTGTTAATCATATTTTCGATATTGATTTATTGATTAAACTTTCAAATCGAAATTTTTCGAAAGTACTAATTCGCTCCGCTCTTAGTACCTTTACAATCCTAAAGATGGATGAAGACCTAATGTAAGCATTAATGAAGATGAATAGATTGGGATCCTAGACTATCTTACTTGTTAAAGCTTTTAATATTGCTAGCAAGTGTATCTTATTCTTGTTGGTCTTTTTAAAAGCTTATAACTAATAAAGTCATGCTAAAATTTCTTCACCAACTATCTGAAGGACATGATCGATTCCTTGGCCAACTAAAATCCTTTGACAAAGGGGCATGTATGGCTTTGGCTCTAGTTGTTTTCCATGCTTAATCTCCTTCTTTATGTCTTTGAGATGTCGGTCCATCTCGATGAGTTGGTCATGGACTTCAAAAGGAAATCCAACGGAATGGATATTTGACTCCTTTGGCATTTTAGTTTCTCGCATGGTGGCATTCCGTGGTGATTAAACCTCAAAGGAGTCTCTACCAAAAGGCAATGCGACTCAGCCACTCTGTAGGGAGTTGGTGCCGACAAAAGGAATAGGGGCGTGGCCAAAGGAGTTGTTCTTTACTGTGATAACTAGGCAAGTTGGGGGGATGAAAGAGTGATGGTTTGAATAATCTTGTTGGGTTAGGTTACTGAATGTTGCATTAAAAATTGCGATAGTAGGTGGGAGTGAAGTTGGTTGTGGAGTAAATGGTGGATGGTTGGCTGCCACATCATGAATAATTGACGGATGCCAATGGATTTCGAGATCGGGAAGGTAGGGTTTTTGGTGGACTCCAAGGTGGGTTTTTGGTGAACTTCTAATGTTAATCTATTCAGATATATTATGATTGTTTGACTTAGATGTCGATTTAAAATTAACTGAGATTGTACTTCATGTTTGTCTCAATGTGAGATAGTGTCAGGTCCAGAGGTTCCAATATCATTCGATTTAAAGTTGTGTTGAACCCTCGATAACTATGCTAAAGGTATTCCCATAAAATCTTTCTGAAGTTTAAGTTAGCATTTGGATCGATGGTATTAACTAAATATCGAGTTTGTAAGAGCTGAAAGCATTAGAGGATTGGAGTCTCATACCTAAGCAGCATTTTTATAGTGAGGTTTAAGATCATTGACTTGAGATCACGGTTTAATGTTGGGAATGGTTATGGGCCTCCTTTGGTATTGAGTGTAATCGTATTACAACAGTATGATGTAATCATAAATGGGTTGCAATGTTTAGAGGGAGAACTCACGTCAGTCATATGGTGATGAGGTAGCAACAATGTAGTGTTGAAGTGTTGGACGCATAGTATTGAGGTATCTATCACATGGTATTAAGGTGTTAATCATATGGATATTTGATGTTGATGTGTTAATCACATGACACTAAGTTTGATGATTCTTTTTTAGGTCATGACTTTGGTTAGGCTTTGATTTTATTATGTATACAACTATAAACCTGATTTTAATTATTTTTAATAAGGCTTATCAATATAATATGTTTGCATGAATTACATGTTAATTATTGTATGTTTATTTTTACGTATGATAAATAATTAATTATAACAAAGTTGAGTGCTTCTCGAGTCAGGTGGCATTTCAAGAAACTCTAGAAATCTATCATCAAATCGAATTTCAAGATAATTTCAATTTCAAATTTTTATGTACATACGAGAATGGACATCTATGTTTCCTTCCATAAGAGAAGATAGTTATCAAGAATAATCGGTTCGTGTAATATTTAGATTATTTATTATTAGAGGTGAGATACATAGAATAAAAAGAAAAGAGAGAAAAAACCTTTGTCATCAAAGAGTTTGCAACTATTTATAGAATGGGGATGGAGATATCCGCCGATTCATATTTTATTATGATAATAGATCGTATTTCGAACATACTAATATGGCAGATCTGATCGTTTTATATTGTAATTTTCTATCAACACTCAAATTAAGGAACTTATAAGTCTAACATTCTCTCCTTTAAATGTCTAATATCCAATTAAGATAGATAAACTTTGTTACAATATTATTCCTCCAATGTACGTTTAATGAATCTAAAATTATTTTGTTGTTTTTTATCAAAAACAATTGAAAATTCCACACATGAATTAGAAGGAAATTATATATATATATATATATATATATATATATATATATATATATATATATATTTACATACACATAAAAGAGTGGCAAAATAAGCAGCTTCCTGGAACTATGATCAGCTGTCTATTTCTCGGTGTGACCGCCTTATCATCTTTAACAGTATTCTTCTGTGGAAATTGAACAGCTTGCTTGTGTTGAAAATTAAGCTCGATGCCCATAAATGCCAAGTTAACATTCAATCGTGCAAGTTGGAAACTTGGACTTCACTTCCGTGAAAAGCTTTGTCCTTTTCCCACAAGGAAACCAATAAAAAAACTCAAGCCTTCAACAAATGTTTGATTCAAACGAAGAGGGGACTTGAAAACAAAACTACTCCTCGGTCGTTTTAATCCAACGAAGACCACAACAACAACAACAACAACAACAAGAAAAAGATGCTCTTAGAAAATTCTGCGTCACATTAGTCCGCCACCGACACCGTCGGCGGAAAACCCAGATCGATCCTGTTCTCGGCTTCCGAGACTTTTCTTATTCCTCATCTTGTAAGCGTGGAATCAGGAGAGGATTAAGCAACCAGTGAAAGAGGCAAAATTTGGCATTCCTACGACAAAATATCTACTTAGAATTCGTCACGAATCATACCACTAGATTCTCCCCAATATCTTTGTCACCGCATCACCATATTCAAAGTCAACGAACCACACATTGTCTAAATGCCAACGTGCGCTTCACGGGGTTCGTTGCTACACTATAAATGAATCTGATGCCTCCTCCCACATCAACCACAGCAAAACTATAGCAATACCAAGTTATCGATCCCAATGGTCAGCCTTCCTAAAGCTACTCTTCCTCTCTCCTCCCTCTCCCCTCCCTCCAACTCCAACTCCAACTCCAACTCCAACTCCTTTGCATGCGCCTTCCATTTTTCTTACCCTGATAGAAGACGCCATGCCCACTCCAAGATCTCATGCAAAGCTAGCGATGAGCATGAGATGACTGCAAATGCCAAGCTCGACCGCCGCGATGTGCTCGTTGGCCTCGGCGGGCTTTGTGGAGCCGCTGCCGGCCTCGGGATCGACGGTAAGGCCCTCGGAAATCCCATCCAGGCGCCTGATCTTACCAAGTGCGGCCCCGCCGATCTACCCAAAGGTGCAACGCCCACCAACTGCTGCCCGCCTTATTTTCCCGACAAGAAGATTATCGATTTCAAGCGTCCGCCGAATTCGTCACCCCTCCGTGTCCGCCCGGCCGCCCACTTGGTCGACTCCGACTACCTGGACAAGTATAAGAAGGCGGTGGAGCTCATGAGAGCACTGCCGGCCGACGATCCGCGCAACTTCATGCAGCAGGCCAATGTCCACTGCGCTTACTGTGATGGCGCCTACGACCAGATCGGCTTCCCCAACCTCGAGCTCCAAGTCCACAACTCCTGGCTCTTCTTCCCTTGGCACCGCTTCTACCTCTACTTCCACGAGAGGATCCTCGGCAAGCTCATAGGCGACGACACTTTCGCCCTTCCTTTCTGGAACTGGGACGCGCCCGGCGGCATGAAGCTGCCGTCGATCTACGCCGATCCTTCGTCCTCGCTCTATGACAAGTTTCGCGACGCCAAGCACCAGCCGCCGGTCCTCGTCGACCTCGACTACAACGGAACCGACCCTAGTTTCACCGACGCAGAGCAGATCGATCAGAACCTCAAGATCATGTACCGGCAGGTGATCTCCAACGGCAAGACGCCGTTGCTGTTCTTAGGCTCGGCTTACCGTGCCGGCGACAACCCAAACCCCGGCGCGGGCTCGCTCGAGAACATACCACACGGCCCCGTCCACGGGTGGACTGGCGACAGAAACCAACCCAATCTCGAGGACATGGGCAACTTCTACTCCGCGGGGCGCGACCCTATCTTCTTCGCCCACCATTCAAACGTCGACCGCATGTGGTACTTGTGGAAGAAGCTCGGCGGGAAGCATCAGGACTTTAACGATAAGGACTGGCTCAACACCACCTTCCTCTTCTACGACGAGAATGCTGACTTAGTTCGAGTCACCCTCAAGGACTGCTTGCAGCCGGAGTGGCTTCGTTACGATTACCAAGACGTCGAGATCCCGTGGCTGAAGACCCGGCCGACTCCCAAAGCCTTGAAGGCGCAGAAAACCGCAGCGAAAACACTGAAAGCTACAGCAGAGACGCCGTTCCCGGTGACGCTGCAATCCGCGGTGAGCACGACGGTGAGGAGGCCCAAGGTATCGAGGAGCGGCAAGGAGAAGGAAGAGGAAGAGGAGGTCCTCATCGTGGAGGGGATCGAGTTCGACCGCGACTACTTCATAAAGTTCGACGTCTTCGTGAACGCCACCGAGGGTGAGGGCATCACGCCGGGCGCCAGCGAGTTCGCGGGCAGCTTCGTCAACGTCCCGCACAAGCACAAGCACAGCAAGAAGGAGAAGAAGCTGAAGACGAGGCTCTGCCTGGGGATCACTGACCTGCTCGAGGACATCGGGGCGGAGGACGACGACAGCGTGCTCGTCACCATCGTCCCGAAAGCCGGAAAGGGCAAGGTGTCGGTCGCCGGCCTCCGCATCGATTTCCCAAATTGAAGTAATACTATATATTTCTACTACCTATCAAGGAAAATAAAAGCCGCACCATCGAAACAGTGTAAAGCTCAACTTTAATCGTCGAGTTACATCTGCGGACGTCGTAATGTTGCGTTATGGACCGGAAATGAGAGAGAGGACACGGCTGATTACGACCATTCGTAACCATGCAACAGTTTTCGGGGTTTCACATCCTTTGAATCGTGTCGTAGTTACGTAACCCACAAGGCTTGTTATTAGTGTGGTGTGTGGTGGCCGCCGTGTGGATCAGATATCGCACGAGGGAGTGGAGACGAAGGGATCATCGGAAGTTTTGACGTACGCCACGAGTTCCCCTAAGTCGTTATAATTTTTTTTTTCAAATAAATGAAATAATGTTCACACTCTATTTTTACACGATATCTCTTACCTTCTAGAATTTAAAATTATAACCAAACTCAAGAAGAGAAGAGAAGAGACTCAAAACTATATTTTATAATATTTTTTTTTTGCTCATGCTCCATCAATCAAACCCGAGTGACGTATTCATAGGTCCCGAAAGATTTCAAGAATGAAGTCAAAAATTTAAATTTTTAAAATTTTTGAGATACAAGCTTGACCACTAGACGTTCAAAAAAAACATTCTACGAAAAAAAATAAAAATTTAAATTTTTTAAAAAATATTTGTTCCCGCTAAGCCTAGTATAAGCCCACTAAGGGCCCAAGTCTACCTCATTTCTATCTCGGTGCAACCGGCATTCGATGTGACGTCGTCCATTGTTTGTTCATACTTCTTTTAAGATTTTAAAATGCATCGAAGAAATGTTTATCTGCAAATTATTTTTGAATGCGAATTTACAAAACCATGATGAACTGCAGCTCTCTTCTTTTTTATCTCACCCTACTGCATCTCCACCACGAGGCTGTAGCATATCCCCTTCAACTCCTTCATTTTGGCCTCGAACTCCTTGGCCTCTGCCTCCTGATTTGTAGCCTCCAGCCAACTTATGGTCTGCTCGATGACGCCCTCCACCTTCTTGACGCTGCTTTTCATCTTCAGGGCGTACTTCTCCAGCTCATTCTTGGCCTCTATCTTCCTCTTATGCTCTTCGTCTTCCTCCTTGTACTTCTTGGCTCGCCAGACCATCTCCTCGATCTCTTCCTTGCTCAGCCTGGTCATGTCACGGGTGACGGTGATCCTGTTTTTCTCCTTCCCCATGGTCTTGTCATAGATCGACAGGTCCAAAATGCCGTCGGCGTCGATGTCGAAGCAGACGTTGATCTCAAGCGAGCTGTCTCGAGCTGAAGGAATTCCACAAAGTTCAAATCGGCCGAGGAGGTTGTTGTCCCTCGTCGTGCACCTCTCACCCTCGTAGACCTTGATACATGCTCGAGGTTTGTGGACGGGGGTGGACAAAACCCGCTCCTTCTTGGTGGGGACGACGGTGTTCCTCGGTATCACAACGACCATGTTGCCACCACCGGCTTCCAGGCCGAGGGAGAGGGGAGCAACATCTAACAACAGCATGTCGTGGAGATTCTCGTGGTCGTCTCCCCTCAGCATGGCAGCTTTGGCTGCAGCGCCGTAGGCGACGGCCTCATCGGGGTTGATGCTCTTGCATAGCTCCTTTCCGTCAAAGAGCTCCTGCAAAAGCTGCTGCACTCGGGGAATCCTCGTCGATCCACCGATGAGAACCACGTCGTGGATGCTGCTCTTGTCCATCTTTGCATCCCGGAGACATTTCTTTACGGTGTCCGCGCACTTGGTGAACAAGTCGTCGTTGAGCTCCTCGAACAAATTACGAGTGATGGTGGAGGAGAAATCCGAGTCCTCGAACAGGCTGTCGATCTCGATGGTAGCTCGGTTGGTGGAAGAGAGTGTTCTCTTGGCTTTCTCACATGCTATCTTTAGCTTCCGCAGTTTCCTTGGGTTCCCGCTTATGTCTTTTCGGTGCTGACGCTTGAACTCATCGACGAAGTGGCTCACCATCCGGTTGTCGAAGTCTTCGCCACCGAGATGGGCATCACCAGCGGTGGCCTTCACCTCAAAGACGCCCTGCGAAATGGTGAGCACGGAGACATCGAACGTACCACCACCAAGGTCAAATATGAGCACATTCGTCTCGCTGTTTGATCTTTTGTGGAGACCGTAAGCAATAGCAGCAGCGGTTGGCTCGTTAATGAGTCCTACGATGTTGAGGCCCGCGATGGCTCCAGCGTTCTTGGTGGCCTCGCGCTGGTGGTCGCTGAAGTAGGCAGGAACAGTGATCACCACGTCGTCAGTGGCGCATCCAAGATAGGATTCAGCAATCTCACGCATCTTTACGAGGATCATCGAGGTGATCTCCTCTGCGGTGAACTGCTGCTCGTCGCCCTTGTACTGGACGACGATCAGGGGCCTGTCGCCTTGGCCATCGATGACCTTGAATGGCCACGATCGCATGTCATTCTGCACCGAGGGGTCGCTGAAACGCCTCCCAATTAAGCGCTTTACATCTGTAGAACAAGGTGATCGTGTAGTCAAGGGGAATCTTGACGATGAGCTTCTCGTACATCTGCTTTCCGGAATATTATACCAGGAAGAGCAAAGTAATGGACTCAAAATTAATTGTTCGTACAGACCACCTGGTTTCATGGAACATCAAGAAACCGAGAACTGAACTGTAGAAGAAGAAGAAGAAGACGGTGAGGAGAAGTCAGTCACCGAAGACAGTGTTGGTGGGGTTCATGACCACCTGGTTCTGGGCCTCGTTGCCGATGAAGCGTTGTGTGCCGGTGAAGGCGACGGAGGAGGGGGTGGTGCGATTGCCCTGATCGTCAGCGATGATCTCGACCCGGCCGTGCTGCCACACCGCGACGCACGAGGAGGTCGTTCCAAGGTCGATTCCGATCGCCGGCCCTGCGCCTCTTCTCCCCATGGAAGGAACCATAATAGAGCTCGATCGTAAGAGCACAAGCACAAGTGGTAGCAGCGAAAGAAGAAGGCTGATGGCCGAAGGATTTATATCCGAAAGCTTTGGCTGAAAGAAGAATCTGATGACTCGGTGGAAGACTTGTAAGCAGTGGCATAGTAACTTCGACCTTTCCTCGTGACATGATGACTAAGAGCATTAGATTCTTTCCTATGGACTATAACTTTCGGTGGGTAACTGTGTTTTTCAAAAACAAATATCTGTTTAATTATAATGTTTTTCGGATTAGTACTTTTTTTTTTATGTCATGTATTTAAATGGTAACAAATTTATTGACTTCAACCGAAATTTAAAATTTTGAATTGATCAGATATATATATATATATATATATATATATATATATATAATGTGAAGAAGATTCTTAAGGTGGAGTGGAAGTGATTGACTTTTGTTAGGTCAGAAATCAGGCAAAAGGGCTAACGGTCAAAAACTTAAATAAGTTAGATTCTTTTTCACATATTTGCATATATCCAACTGATATAATAAATTGGATTAAAATACCTGTGAATAGGTTTGAAACGAGTACTAAAAAGAAAAATAAATATCAAAGTCAAGTTTAAGATAGAGTCATTTTCCATTTTTCTCTTTCATGATGTCACATAAGCAACTGATTGGTTGAGCTGTTGGCCACATATTTATGCGGAAGCAAACAAAGGAGAATAAGTGCTTTTCTTGCCGACACTACTTTATGCACTTTATCAATCATAGAAGAGAGAGAGAGAGAGAGTAGCTCGCAACTCAACTACAGGATGAGCCTTTTATTTTCTTAGAAGCGCTAATATGAATGTTTTCTCCCATCAAATGGCTTAAATTAGTTTGATTGATGATGCATTATCTAAGGCAAATCCATACCCAAAAAAAAAAAAGATTTTGAATAAAAAATATTAAACCCAATCTAACGGGGCTTAATATTTAAACCTAAATAAATAACAATAGACTCAATTAGTCCTTACCGATTCATTCATATTTATATCCACTTCTAATCTAATAATATTAGACTAACTCTAGATATTATAAATTTTTTTTACTTAAGGATTTGATATTTTTGTAACATCTCATATAGTTTCATATTACAAGTTAGTCTCATATTAGAAAGTGAGTTAAAGACTAATATTAACTTATAAAAGATAGTTTTATATTAGAAATGAGTTAAGACTAATATTAACTTATAAAGATTTGATGAGTATATTACTATTAACTTTATTTTGAACCAGTGATCTAGGTTTAATGAAATTAATAAGCTAATTATCTTATTAGATCGGATCATGATAATTAATATGAGAGCTAATTTATTATTAAAGTATAGTGAGGGGCTAGAGGGTAATGGTTTTAGTTGATTGGTTTAACATTCACTAGTTAGTTTCCTTTTATCTCACTTTACATATTGAAAGATTTTCTCTTGTGGATCTTGTGTTGTCTAACATGTTCAAAGCTTTTGCTATATCCATGGTTTCTTTCAGACTCGAGGATATCTTTTGATCACTTTGCCAACTTGTGTTTTGCATAGATCTTAGATTCAAACATTCATCAATTTTATCCTTAAAAATTCCAACTTATGTTCAATTCTTGATTCTGCATTGTTATATATTATATACTTACTCAAATTTTTATCAATCCTTTTTTTATCAATTCTAACTCACTCACTTATTTCAATTTCAAATAGAAATATAAACTTATTCACATGATGTATTGTGAGGATACTATTCTATTTTTTATGACTAATTAGAGGTCTTGTAAGACTATATTTGACATCTTCCATGAATATTTAACTAACTAGTGAATCAATCTTAGCAAGTTCAAGATTTTCTTTCATTGTAAAATGATTTGTAATATCTTTAATCTTAAAAGAGGATAAATTTATTTTCAAATAACTTGGGACCATGATTTCTTTAATCTTAAAACAATTTAGCAAAATATTAGTTCTTGGTAGGCTAATTTCCTCTCTTTCCTGTTCACTTGCTTGTTGTCTCTTGGATGTTGATATTTTTTTTTGTCAAAATATAAAAAAGGTACTTGTGCTATGGGTTTACATCTTATTCAAAATTTTAATCTCATCAAAATCACTTATCCATTTGGTACATAGCTAATCTATTTATTTAACTACTAAACTAAAAGGGAGTCCATTAATTTATCAATAGATAATGTAGTTATATCTTTAGCTTATTTTATATCAGTAAAAATCATATTAAATTTTAAAGATAAATTT